GGTCTTCGCTCTTCTCTGTTCTGAAATTCTTTTCTTCTCTTTCTTTTTTTGTTATTTCTCACCTCTGGTTTTTCTCTGAGTGTTCGTCTTTTTGTTGTTGTCGGTCTCTTGGGGAGATTAAGCGTTGGAACTCGAACTCTCTTTTTGGTTGGAGAGAGCTGTGGCGTTTCCCTACTGCTCCGTCGCCATCTTGGTCCCCCCTCTCCCATATGGAACTTTTTAAGGGATTAAAAAATAACAAGCTAAACAGATTTAAAGTACATTTTAAAAAGTGGCTGGATCATAGCTCAGTGGTAGAGTACTTCCTTACCACATACCCACATAGATACTATCTCCCCTCCCATTAAAAAAAAAAGTCAGATACCAGTAGCTCACACCCTATAATTCTAGCTAATCAGGAGGCTGAGATCTGAGGATCTCAGTTCAAAGCTAGCCCTAGCAAGAAACTCTATGAGCCTTTTAAAAAAAATTGATTTTATTGTTAATGTGGCATACAGAGGGGTTACAGTGACATAGGTAAGGCTGAGTACATTTCCTGCCGGACATTGTTACCCCCTCCCTCATTTTTCTCCCACTTTCCCTCCTCCTAACTACCCCCTCTCAGGTTGTAAAGGTCATTTCCAACATGTTGTCTTGTGAGTATCGCTGTTGCATTGGTTTGCCCTTTGCCGTTTGTCTCACCAAAAAAAATTTTGTTGTTCCCCTTTCCCTTCCCCAATTCAGATAAATATATATGCAAGACACGGGGTCTAAAATCAACTAAAGTGACAAGGAGAAAAAAATGAAAGAAAAAAAGAAATAACTTCATGCAGTACATAAAAAGCAACAACAAAGAAAAACCTCTTCACTCCAATCAACCTCCAAAAAGGCCGGAATGAGAATTGTGGCTTAAGTGGTAGATTGTTAGCCTTGAACACAAGAGCTCATGGACAGTACACTCAGGCCCTGAGCCCTGAGTTCAAGCCTCAGTACTGGAACACACACATACACACACACACACACAAAGTAAAAAGAGGACTGGACACACACACACACACACACACAAAGTAAAAAGAGGACTGGAACACACACACACACACACACACACACACACACACACACACAAAGTAAAAAGAGGCCAGGCACCAGTGGCTTATGCCTGACTTGGGGGGGGGGGCTGAGATCTGAGGATCACAATTCAAAGCCAGCACAGGCAAGAAAATCTGTAAGACTCATCTCCAATTAACCACCAAAAAACCAAAACAACAAAAACAAAAAACGTGGAGCTGTGCCTGAAAGTTGTAGAGTGCTAGTCTTGAGCAGGAACAGCACCCAGGCTCTGAGTTCAAGTGCCACAACTGACAAAAAGAAAAAAAGAAAACAAAGTGAAAAGGAACTGTGTCCCAAGTGTTCTCCAGGGGCCAGACGCAGAGCTAGGGAGCAGGGTAGAATGGCGAGTACAGCCAAGGTGATCATTTGTCCTGTGGAATGCATCACCTTGGTGCAAGGCCAACCCTGGAACAAATGGTGATGTACACCAAGCCTCGGGGCCTTTGATTGGGTGGTTCCCTTGCTGGAGAACACTCAGAGTGGACTTTCTTGGCTAATGTGACTAATAGAGTTCTGTAATGGCTTTGGATTCCACCTGAAATCCTCAGGGCATCACAAAATTGCTCTATTCTGAAGGAATCCATCTTAAAGTGCATTTTATATTATATCTATCTTACTTAAGTTTCGTTAAGTGTTCTTTTGGCTTATCTGTGCTGCTGTTCTGTTCTTGACAATGCAGAAGGAAGTCGCTGATAGTTTCAGAGGTCGGGGAGAATGAGGACAATTACAGGTGTCCTGTCTAAGATAATGAACTCAGCCTTGTGTCTTGCCCTGAAAACAGTGCTTTACAAACCACAGATCCTGGAACAATTCAGTTGGTTGCCATTGATCCCTCCCTCTCACTCTCTCCCTCTCCCTCTCCCTCTCTCCCTCTCCCTCTCTCTCTCTCTCACACACACACATACACATTTACTGCAACCAAACACTTGACCCCAACTCTATGCCAGTCACTCAACTAGGTGCTTTGCTATTTATTTTCTTCTTGAATCTTCTCTAAGAAGCTTACAGCTCTAGAGACTAGGAAGTACTGATCCCAAGATAAAAGATGAAAACTAAGACCTAGAGCCATGCATGAGTCCAGGGTCACAGCTATTATGGCGACAGGGTGCTAACCACTCTGTGTCTAGTGGGTTCTCCCTGCCCCTCTAGGAACAGGAGGTTGCTCAGCCAGGACTTAATGTGCAGGGGTTTCCAGGTGGCTCCTCTGCAACTTCCCCGCCACCCCATCTGAGGCCTTGCCACTTTCCCATGTGTGAGACCCCAGGAGGAGAGAGGAAAAAAGGACTTTGGCTGAGCTGTTGTTTTGGTCACTGCTAGGAAGGTAGAGCCACTGGAGAAGAAAACTATAATTTGGAATATCAACTGCTTTCTTTTTCAATTCTTCTGGATACAGGTGCTGGAGCTGACATAGTCTCATGTGGATGGAAGCGTTCAGGCAATCATCTGAGAAGGGGCTACATCTTATTCCAGGAATGTGGCATCTTGCCTCTCAGGCCAGGACCTCCTAAAGCTTCATGTGACAGTTTCAGCCAAGCTGTCACTCAGCAAACATCCGCTGAGTGACTGCCTGAGGCTGGCCAGGGATCTGTGTGCGTCATCAAAGAGCTCAGACTCACTACCCAACTGCAGCCCCAAGTGCTACTCTGACAGGAGGGAGGGAGGAACCCACGCAAGCAAGCAAGCAAGCAGGAGCTTGGGTTCCCCTGAGAACTTGCTTAGCTTTGCTGACAGGAAGCTCACAACAGTGGAGCTAACCCACTGATGAAGCATCACAGGAAGAGGGTTTTGTGGCAAGAGACTGAAAAGCTTTGAGCTGTAACCATGGTGGGGGTGCTCTACAAAGCTCTGAGTTCTACAAAGTTCTCCCAAACTTTCCTCCCAGTCTCAGGTGGCCACTGGACCTGAGGACTTGAAGCTCCAGCCCCAGACCCCAGGCCCTTCTACAGGAGTCAGACAAGTCCCCTAAGTAACGCCACTTGCCCTTCCCTTGGACCCCCAGACATGCGACCCACAAAAGAGAGTATCACGGCTGAGCAAGGAGACAGGCCAGCCCACTCATATTCTCTTATCCTTCAGATGATTATTTATTTACTCATTCATTTATTCATTCACTTATTTCTTTTGTTGGTACTGGGGCTTGAACTCAGGGCTACAGCCTTACAGCTCAAGTGGTATTCTACCACGTGGGCCAAGCCTCCAGTCCAGCATTTTGCTAGTTAATTGATGATAGAGTCTTCCAGACTTTTCCATCCAGGTTTGTTTTGAATCATGATTCCCCCAGGTCTCAGCTTAATGAACAGCTAGCATTAAAGGCATGAGCCACTGGGGCCCAGTTAGATAACCACTTTTTGATTTGGCTTCAACACTCCATTGTATACACTTCATTCAGTCTCAG